TTTTTGGAAATAAGTACCAAATGCAGCAAAACTGACTTCCTTCCGAAAAAAAAAAGCAGTCAAGGGCTGTAATGCCACATGTGCAGGTGATGCGGTTAGGGCCTGGGGAAGGTGAAGAAGACCTTCCCCAGCAGGACTGTCAGAACTTTCCCCTGGAGTTATGGCCCTTCACCCTCCCTTGGCCGGGGGGGGAACCTGCTGCTGCATGTGCAGAGGGGAGGGAGGAGTAATGAAAAGCCCACGTGTAATGCACAAAATCAGCATGATGCAAGTGCCAAAACTGAAACTTCAAGGTGAGAGGACACCATGTGTGAGGAGCGAAGGCACTTCGGTGCTCCTTGAGATGAAGGGCTTCTGCTGCTACTTCGGGAAGGAAAGAAGTTGAAATTCTGCCGTCTGTCCAGAGGAACCACAAAGGGAGAGCAAAGCAGGGGGAAGGACTATGGATACACAAATTTAGACACTTGAGTTTCTTGGAAAAAGATAGCTGCTGTGCTTTGAAAAGTACAGTTGTAGTTCAACCCCAGCTGGCAACTGAGCACCATGCAGACACTGGCTTCCCCCTCCCCCCCAAAGTGGGATGGGGGAGAGAATCAGAAGGGTAAAAGTGAGAAACTTGGGAGTTGAGATAAATACAGTTTAATAAGTAAAGCAAAAGCTGCACATGGGACCAAAGCAAAACAAAGAATTCATTCCCTGCTTGGAGTTGAGATAAATACAGTTTAATAAGCAAAGCAAAACAAAGAATTCATTCCCTGCTTCCCATGGGCAGGCAGGTGTTCAGCCATCTCCAGGAAAGCAGGGCTCCATCACATGTAATGGTTACTTGGTAAGACAAACGCCATCACTCCAAACTTCCCCCCACTTCTTTCTCCTTCCCCCAGCTTTATATACTGGGCATATCATATGGCATGGAATATCCCTTTGGTTAGGTGGGGTCAGCTGTCCCGACTGTGTTCCCTCCCAACATTTTGTGTACCCTCAGCCTACTCACTGGTGGGGTGGTGTGAAGAACAGAAAAGGTCTTCACTCTGTATGCATTGTTCAGCGATAACTAAAACGTGCCTGTATTATCAACACTCTTTCCTGCGCAAATCCAAAACAGCCACATACTAGCTACTATGAAGAAAATTAAGTCTTCAGCTGGGTGCTGGTGTTGGGCGGGTAGGGAGCAGAGCCCATCTAGGTCAAGGAGTTTTGCCATGGCAGCTCACCCACATAGTGGGCTAGTGCCACATACTAGCTACTATGAAGAAAATTAATGCTACTCCAACCAAAACCAGCACAGTCTTAGTCCAGCTGTAGTGTTTCTTCAGTCTCCTTTGTTCCTGCAGCTGTTCATCTGAAAAAGAATATTTTAATTTTTTTTAGGATAACTGTACTAACAATTTTAGATACATATAAGCAAAGGTGTGTTACAGCATCTGCAGGTTATTGGAGCTGGGTGCTGGTGTTGGGCAGGTGGGGAACAGAGCCCAGATAGGTCAAGGAGTTTTGCCATGGCAGCTCACCCACATAGTGGGCTAGTGCAGTCAGGGATGGAGGCAGGTGAGGGAGGAGGCTGGAGGGTGTTGAGGAAACAGCAAGAATAACCCTGGCGTGGGGGGTGGTCAAGTGCCAGGAGTCAGCTGAGTGTGGGGAGGGATGGCAGGGGGCTGAGGAGGAGCCGGCACACAGCCTTGCTGGTGAAGGCACCTGAGGAAGGCTTGAGAGCCCCTTCTATGGGGGATCCCCCAAGTGCATGGAGAGACCTTGGCCAGTGATGGGGTGTTTGTGCTGGGAGAGTCTAGAGCTATGGGGATGCTGGAGGGAGAAAACACCTTGGTCCTGCTGGCAGAACAGTCTTGGGGTTTTTTTTGTGCTGCTACTTCACCTCACACTATTCCTGCTAATTTAGGAGATCTTGCTAGTCCAGATGTAAAATAACAAAAGAGAGCTGGAGTGCGACCTCTCTAGGAGTCCAGAATTAGCTGGCCACAGCTGCTGTGTGCAAGGGCTGAATTTTCAAAGAGCAGTTTGTTATAAAAATGACAAGTTTTCTAGATTCTAAAACACAGTGTGGATGACTGGGGATGACCCTGGTAAGGAGAGGTGGGAGAGAGGGATGAAGAAGATGATTGAAGAGCAACTCCCTTCCCATCAGTCCAGGTGCTACTTGTGAACATCTGTCCTTCCTCTCTCCCTCCCCTGTCTACCAGAAAGTGGTGCTTTGCCTGACCCTCCCTTCTCCTGCTTTTCACCTGTGGAGAGAAAATTAATTTGAGGAAGCAGGTTGGGTGGGGGCATAGAGGAAGAGGAGGGTAGCACAGTATTCTTCAGTATTTTTCTTCATGCGACTGCTCTGGGCAAAATGGCCTACATATTTCTGCTCTGGTCTATCAAAATCATCCGCTACACTTCTAAAGGAATCTCACTTAAAAAGGGAAGTGGCAGTTGCAATCTCTTTAATCAACTTCGCATCGCTTGTGGCAGCATCTTGGTTGAAAAGAGAGTTGCTATCTCTTCAAATTCTAGCCTGGAATTTTGCTTCCCTCAGTAGTCTGACTCCATTATCCATCCTGCTCCCAGAACAAAAGGGTTCACCTGATAAGAAGTCATATTATTTTCCATTAACAAATGTGGAACTACTCCTTTTTCTGATTTGATTAAAAATTAGCAGACCTCTGTACCTGAAAACCACAGTTGTTTTATTAAAAGTGAGGGGAGAAGGGGAGTAGGACTTGGTATACGCCTTTGGCAGAAGGTGAATTAATCAAGGAGACTAAAAGCCCAAACCAAACTGGTTTGGTTTCCTAAACTAAAGGTACAAATATAAAAAAAAAATAAAATAAAAAAATGGGCTTAGCATCTTTTGACAAGGTGTAGGAAGAAGAGTGAAAGTTCCACCACCTGCAGTGTTTGTTTCCATCCTTTACTTAGAAGTAAGCATGATTAAAAAAAAAGTGGCACATGAACTCATCCACCAACTCTCCTGCCACGCTTTTTTTTTAAAGCAGTAATCAACTGTGTATCTGGCACCCTTGGCTCTTAGACATCCAGAAATTCCAGACAAATGGCTCCGCATTACATGTGCAGCAAGTCCAACTTGTTCTGAATGTACTGAACTTCCTATGCATTTGTGGCTGAAACGTGCATGGGTGATAAACCACTGTATTTAGGACGCACAAGTGTCAGCAGCTTTTGCATCAGACCTGTCCTCTTCCCTGCTCTGCCCTCAAAAGGATGGAAGAACCTATTGATTTTTGAAGTCTTTAAAGAGCCACTGTGCCAGTCCATCCTCATGAATGAAAGGAGTGATTTTGTGTTTCAACTCAACTACAACTAAAATATGCAGTTAGGCTCTTTGGTCTTGTTAGCTATTAAAAATGCTTTAAAATCCTTTATGTTATATCATAATAGTGGGTGTTTGTGTTGATTATATGAGATTAAGGGTCGAAAATAATTTCTGAAGGAATGTAGACTTTGAGGAAGGGGAGAGGTGAGTGAAACTGATTTGTCCACTTCTAAACTATCATTTGCAGAAGACAAACCTGAGAAGGCAAATCTTGATGCTTGTGGGTGTGGTTGGGATTTTATTTGTCATGTCCACCCCTCCTCCTGCTCTTTTGTAATTAAGTCTCTACCTTAATGGATGTACTCTAAAGCCCTTGATAATGCTCTGATGCTTCTAAGAAATGTGTGCTATAGAGCCCAGGGAGATGAAATATATTTAAGGAGAGACTGATAAGGATCTTCCAGAAGGTACCTGATTCATTTTAAAGCCTTCAGCTTCAATTCCAGTGCCCATAAATGAAGCAATAAGCGTGCAAACATAATTTAATAGCACACATGCAGAGTTTCCATCAAACATCTTGCAGCGAATTACTTGTCTGCGCATTGCATTAACCTGGTTAGCTTTGCCTGAGTCGATCTAAGGAGGGCTCAGCCATCCTTTCAAACGGTAGAGCTGTGGGGACAGCAACCACAGAGGGACAGTGACAAGCAGCTCTCTTCAACCAGCAGAGCTGTTTGCAAAGCGAACTTCTCTTCCTGGCTTAATGAGTGATTTCTGTACCTGGGCTTTTCCTGGGCTGCCAGGTGCTTTCTGCGCACCCCGGGAATTTTGTGCCACGGCTCTGGCACCTCAGTCGGTTTGCAGAGGAGAGGAAAAAACATTCAGTGTTTGTAAACTCAGCGTGGTAACAAGTTAAATTACTGCTCATAAAACTGAGGGAGTGTACTCAACAAAGTCTGTTGCAGTCAAGTGGCGTACAAACTTTTCCCAGACCTTTAGTTTCATCACTAAGTTTCAGGGCCTTTCTTGGTTTGGTCAAAGACTAGAATAAACTTGTAAAGGCTCTTGCCCCTTCCCACCCTGCTGGGAATGGGAGTTACTCGCGCAAAATTCTCTTCTGCAGCAGCAGGGTTGTGCCAAAGTTAAACATTTGAAGGATACCACTAAACCAAATATCGTTTGTTAAAGCCAGCTGTCCCATGGTAGGCTGCTTAGTTCAGAGCAGAAGAGGAAGAAGAACAAACTTCTCTGTCCCCTGTATGCGAAATTGTGATCTTTGAGCTTTTAATGTATAGCTATGTGAAATACAAAGGAGTCTTTGTGAGAACAAACTTCTCTGTCTCCCGTATGCGAAATTGTGATCTTTGAGTTTTTCATGTATAGCTATATGAAACACAAAGGAGTCTTTGTCAGGTGAGGAGTTACTTTTGTATTGGATAACAATACAAAAGACATTTTGGAAAATACCAAAATTGCCAGGTATTAAATTCTGTGCCCAGAAGTGAACACTTGAACTATGGTTTTTAGAAGTGAATGTACAGAAGGAGGTAGGGATGTTAATGAAATTGCTTAGAAATCTTCCACCTAATGGAATTTAGTATAATTCTGGTAGCTTAAAGTCTTTCCTTCTCTTAGTTTCTTTCTTGCCTTCATCAAATCAACAAATTCTGAAGACTAAAGCATTTTTCCCTTTCTTTGTCTCTCCCTACCCCTTTTATTCCTTTAGGTGGTTTCTTGCAACGTTGTGGGTGATTCTGTCATATTTGTTGTCACTGTCTCACATACTTCGCCTGCGGCTGCAGAAAGTCAGTCGTACACCGTGAAACTGTCTCCACTTCACTTGCAGGTAAAGTATTAAGTGTTATTCTCTCACTTCTTCCTTCTGAACCTTCCCGCTGAACCTCCTGTATGCAAAATGTATGCAAGCTCATGTTAATTCCAGTGAAATGTTTAATAATATTACAGTTTCCCTCCAGGGCAAGTGACAAATTCATAAATTAAGCTGCCTCTTTAGGATACTGTGGATAAGTAACATGTTGGGTAAACTACTCAGATGTATAGAACAACAATACCCTTTTTTGACTCTCAAGGCTTAAGTAACTTATGCCTTCTCAGACTGTCACTTTGAATTTACTCACTCAGAAACTGGTATCATTCCTCCTCTGGTGAGCATTAGTATGGCGTTTGACCTACAGTTTCTTTACAGGACACGAGAACACTGTCTAATAACTGCTTTTGTATCCACAGCTTCAGCTCTATGTGAAAGACAAAGGAGAAGATGTCAAAGTTGAGTGGCTCCTCATTAACGCTGATGAAACCAACTTTGAAATCCAGCCAACAGGGCAGGAGGTCAGTCAGTAAGTTTTATTTGTTGTAATGGTCAAGAAGATGGGGCTCCATCCCTTTGGTGCAAAACCCAGTGTAATGCTGTTGGTTAGCAGTGGAAGTGTCTAGAGCTAAGGTATCAGGTGAGGCTAGAAGAGGTGAAGAAAAAAATGCCCATTCCTTTCTGCTGGCTGCCTTCTGCAGAGGTGTGGGGCAGTCACCTGTAGGCAGTGCCATCTTGAACTGCTTCAGTGTCATCTGCCATGGCTCATCCATCGAAACCTTACATCTCGGAGATCTAGGAGCATTTCTCAAGATTACTGAAGCAATAAAGATAAATCAAGTTTGTATTTGACAGACAAATGACTTTACAAGCGTTTTTCATCCAAATTCAAAGGTATGAAAAACGTCTGTTCCTAAATACCTTCTCTCAGACCACCTCAAAAATAATAAAAAACCCCAAATGTAATGGTATTCTCATAAAAATAATTAAAAAGTTGCCCCTTCCTTAACTTAAATCAGTTTTGAAATCTGGCAACAATAGTTCAGAAACAGCCCTGAATAAATACAATTATTTAAGGAAATGATGGATGATGTAAAAATATCTTGATGCTTTTGGAATTGCACCTTATCTAAGTGTATAAACACTGATTCATTGGGTTTCTTTTACTGGGACATCCCCTGAAAGAGTTTCTTCATGACTGAGACTCTCTTCTGCCTTTGACCCTTCACAGTGGTTTTTTTTGGCACAAACGTGGTGACTTAGGCCTTTCTTACAACAGTGGGTGAAGGCTTGCTTGTGTTTTATGAAGTTGTTTTTCTGACTGAAGGCCTTGTTAAAAAATAGGTTTATTGTATAGTAGAGCTGCTTTTGAAGACCTGTACTGAGTGACCTAGAATTGCAATAATTTATTACCATAGTTTTTGTACACAAAAATGTGACACTCGTAAGACAGACAAGTCTTTTGAAGTGTGTTTTTCATGTAGATTTTACTGTGCATGCATAGGAGTGTAAATCACCTTCACGTGCTGGGGTGGCATGCTGATTATCCACATATTGAACAGTCATTAAGTAATTAACTGGCAAATGCAGATGAATCTGGTGCGGTCACTGGACTTCACAAGCTGCTTTTTGAGAGGTGCCCGAGTACAGGGTTGCAAAGGAGTTGCAGCTTGTTGTGCTCTGCCTGCATTTTTCAAATGAGCCTGTTAAGTTCTTAATAGTTACGGGCTTTATTTTCACTAGCACTTAGGGAAGTGGGGAGGCAATAAACAAAGAGCTAAAACCTGTGAGCAACCTACACCTTGGAAACTGCTTCTGCTCCTAAATTTAAATGTCAGCTTTTGTGTCTTGTTTTTCGCTCTTTCGGAAGCAATATTGTGTGTACAAATAAATACCTTTAATTGCTTGTGATTATCTACACAGTGGTTTCTCATCAGTTAGACAAGGTGCGTATAATAACCTATTTTCTGTTGATAATAGCTGGGTGAACCTGAGTTGTGGTTGGCAACTTGGCTGACTGGCAGGGCTTGGGTTTGCATGTGGTTGTGCTACTGCTGGGACTTTATGTGCTGGCGTGCCCCAAGCTAGCCACGGTTGCTGACCGTACACCTCTAGCCCCTGTCAAACCCAACATAAAATGTGTTGTCTTAAGCTTTTTTGGTCGGCATCTAAGCCATTATGGCTTGCTTTGTAGAGGATATTGTGATGAACCATTACTTCTTTATTTATAAAGACAGCTACAAATGAGGTAGGGTTGACAGGAGACTCTTTAACCAAACTGCTTTCCAAATAACTATGGAAACATCAGAAAATACCTGTGAGTAGAAGTCCAATAGCTATTGTTACCGTTAAATAAGAAATGTCAGATTAGGTTGATGGCAAAGCGAGAGGCAGCTGGGATTTTACAAATTGACATTGTTCTTCATCAAACAGGGTTTAGATTAGGGCAGGGGAGGGAAATTACCTCCAAAACACTGAAAACTAACTATGATTTATCTGATTACTTAAATAACATAAATAATGAAAATACTGAAACTGAAGCTTTAGACAGCCTAATTTATTCCATTAATATTTTTAGAAATAAAAGAGTATTATCTGCAAGTTGCAGAAATGTGCCGCTGTCTCTTCCTTTGGCAGCTGTTTGAGGCAGAACAGAGTGAATAAAGCAGGGTTTCTGTGGGACTGGTCGATGCTGCTGTTGTATGTTTTGAACCGTAGCGACCTGTGGTCACAGGGCTGTTGGGCAAGGAGGCGGTGAGACAGAATTTCTGTGCACAACATTCCTGGGATTTTTATGAAACACCCTAAGCGTTTCTGTAACACTTGGGTCATTGGGAAAGGGCTGTTACTCCAAATCGGTTTGACCTGTTGTGCGAGCTGCAGGCAGACCTTTCGGAGTGCAAGAAGTCATTGCAGGATCATTCTCCCACACCTAAAGAATCACGGAATTGTCAGAGTTGGAAGGGACCTCTAGAGATCATCTAGTCCAACTCCCCTGCCAAAGCAGGGTTGCCCAGAGCACATCACTCAGGACTGCAGCAAAGTGGGTCTTGAAAATCTCCAGAGAAGGGGACTCCACGACCTCCCTGGGCAGCCTGTTCCAGGTCTCTGCACCCTCACCCTAAAGAAGTTCTTCCTCATACATGAATGGAGCTGCCTGTGTTCCAGCTTGTGCCCGTTGCCCCTCGTCCTGTCACTGGGAACCACTGAAAAGAGTCCGGCTCCATCCTCCCTCAGACTGCCCTTTAGATGCTTTAAGCATTAATAAGGTCTCCCTTATTAATGGTCCTTCCCCAGGAAGGACCTGAGGCTTTCGAAATGCCAGATTGCCTTTAGTGCTGAGATCTCTGTGGCGGAGGAGCGCGGTGCAGGGTGGCTGGGGTGGCAGAGCAAGGCCTGTCCTCTGCCACGTTGGCAGAGATGCGGCTGTTTGAGGCTTGGGCTGGTGCTGCCGCCGGCACCAGAGTGGGTTGGGTAGCTCTGGAAGCTGGTGGTGCCCAGTTGCAGGGTTATCAAGGCAGTCCACCAGGGTTAGGCTTTCAGTCCCCAACTTGATCTCCCTGTTGGTGGGAATCAGATGACCTTGCCATCAGTGTGCCTGGTCTTTGCGGCAGGGCCCGGTTTGCTGGACTCTGCACCCCGGTTGTAGGTGTGCTCCCGCCAGACAACAGCATGCAGAAAGGGTGCCTTTTTCCCACTTTGTGTGATTATTGCATTCTCAGCTGTTCTCTATCTGCAAATCAGCTCCCTTTCTTCTAAAGCCTTGTTTGGTCATAGTAAAGTCTCTCAAGTGTAGTACCAGATAAGAAAAGATGGATGAGTCCTCTGTTGTTTAGGTCAGATCTTTGTCTTCTATTTCACTTTTTTTTTTCTTTAGAAAACAAACCTTACTGAGATTTCTCATGGGCTACCTGCAGAGCAGTTGAGTATCAAACTGCTTTTTCTGTCATAGCTTAATTTAAAATCCACTCCTTGAAGGTAACTGAGCAGACGGGACTTTGTGAGCAGCATGATGTGGGAAGCAGGCTTCTCCAGGAGCACTGGGAGGGCAGGGGTGGTTCACCCTCTTCATACACCCTGCAATTAATCCTGTGAAGCACAATCTGTGATCTGTTCTGATCCCTCAGAGATAGTGGTGTTAAGCACAGGTTGCCATGAGATTTTTGAATGGACAAACGTATGAATCAGTCCCCCAGAGCAGCACAAGTGTCTGTCCATGCAGCGCTCTTTTCAGTCAGTCGAAGACCTCCAAGAGATGCTGTAATAATTTATTCAGTGCAGCACAGGATTAGCTTCTTCTCAGCTGTTGCAAGCTGGCATAACTCCCATTAAATTAGTGGAACAGTGCCGATCAGCTTATCTGATGACCTGATCTGCTCTCTCAGAGGGGTGCAAAGCAGTACAAGAACTCTAAAACATCACAAGAGATAAACTGTTAGTGAAACTTCTAGTTTTGTGGCTGATAGCTGTGCCTTCCTAACTCTCAGAACAGCATGTGACTTTTTCAGCATATATTTCTAGTTCTCCTTTAATGCATAATATAGAAATTTAAGTAATTATTTGCATAATCGCTCGTTACATATTGTTGTTGGCAACAGAAACCATTGTCTCTCTGACAAAGTTAGTATTCAGTAGCTTTGGTGGTTTAGATAAATTTTTGTCTTAACTTTTATTCTTCTGAGTTTTGAGAATCACGATTGTTTGTTTCCTCTTAGGGACAGACAGCAGGGACATGTGCAATATCTGAAACCCTCAGAGGTGTTTTGAAGAACCTCTTTAGCTCAGTTTCTCCATCTGTAGTGTTGAGTACAAGGCCTACAGATATAAAGGAGGTTCAGGTAAGTCTTATTCCTACCTAAATCTTTTGAGAAGTCTCCCTCTGCTTAGTGTTTTGATCTTGCATTCATGACTTACAAATGAGTAAATTTAACACCATTCAGTGGTCAGAAGCAACTGGAACACATTCTTTAAAATAACATAGCCTTTGGCAGTGAAGGCTTTGTGATCACAACTCCTGTATAGCTATCTGTTGATGTTACACCCCATCGCACGTCTGCTTCCCTGTATCAATGTGACAGACGTTCAAAGGGTTTTGTATTTGCCTGTGTGCCATCCCTCTTGTTCTGCTTGCTTTTCACAGAATGTACAGAACACAAGCCTTCTCCCTCAGGGCACTAGTCCGCCTAAACCTCCAAGGGCTCATGACCTCAAGCTGCTGGTAAAGAACATCGCAGTAAACCTAACTGATCACAGTGCTGCAGGTAACATAGCCTATGCCATGCTGCTCGTTTTTGAGCAGGGTTGGTTGTTTGTTTTTTTTCCTTTTGGGTGAAATCATTTGGAAGTTGTGAGTTAACAGCCTTGTCTCAAAACAAGATGTAAGAAATTGCATTACTCCAAGAAACAGACTTGGTTCATTCTTGTACAAAACTGTATGGTTTGGTTCATTTGAGTATTTCAGCATCTTGATCTTGTAAACAAATCCATCCTTTTTGAAAGCAAATTGAAATGAGCATTTTTACAAAGTTGGTTGATCACTTTCTGGAGTTCAGTTTTAATTTATAAAAGTTATCACTTTGGTTTACCCAAGATGGGGGGCTTAAATCCAACTCTCCCTTAACTGCTAGCAATGACATTGGTTTAGTTCAGTATTACCTTATTTTTACAGCTGCTTTTCTTTACTTCTGAGCAATTTGCTGATTTATCTAAAGCTTTCCTCCTGTATGTAAACTCTCCTCAAAGGTTGTGTATTGTTGTTGGGGATTTTCCCCCCTAATACAGTGGCTCTCTGGGTAGGGGAGGGAGTACCTCTTGCAAATGGACAATGAAACTGAAAGGGTCACTGCCTAGTGGAATTGCACTGTTGGTTTGAGAAAGAAGCCCCAAGTTTGTTTAGCAAGTATTCAGACTTCTTCAAGTCCAAGCATGCCTGCATCACTGATAGAGGCATGAGCAAGCATATTTCAGATTTTGTCAGCGGAAATATAAATTTGAGGCTCTGTTATTTATGGTCACTAACAATTCCGTAAGAGACTTCTTAGTGGAAGCTTGTGGCTGCTAAATTGGGCAAGGCACTGTTTTTGGATAAATACATCCTACTTGCTATACTCCTTTTTTCAGTTAGATGTAATAGGTTTCTGCCCCAGACTCTTACATAATGCTGCTTTGCTCATCCTGGTTGGAAGTGATTCCTCTGTAACTTTATGTAGACTGGTTTTTTTTTTTAAAAAATATTTTTATAGCAGTTCTGGAACTCTTTGCAGTGCCATGTCCTATATAAACAAAACTGCTGTAGATTGCAGGAAAACCTCTTACAGAATTTGTTATTACTTTACAGTTTTATAGTGCAAACCAGGCTTTTCGATAACAGCAGATCATTTTGGCCACCTTTAAAACTCATGAGATGGCTTTATGTGCATACCGTTTATGCAGCAGAGGATTCATCTTATGGGAAGCCTCTCTGCCCCCTCCCTGAAAATGAGAGGAAGAGTGGAGGATTAATGTGCTTTACTTTGGGAACCCAGATATTGAGAGGCAAAACACTGCTTGCTCTTCTGAAAGGAGAATTTTGCTGGTTCCCTAGCAATTTGGGGAGTGTCAACACTTGGGAACTGAGTAAATAAAGCTTCATAGTGGGGTTTAGGTGATACCCTCGAAATCCAGTGGAGACACTGCACAGCTGGGAAGATGCTAGCTTCTGGACATAGCTTGCTGCCTTTTAATTATGGTTGCCTTCCCTTTTCCTGGTCTTGTCTTGCAGCAATAATTAATTATCCTGTTGCAACTCTGAGTAAGAGTGAGCAATATGGCAGGCTAACCTGCATAGATACACAGAGGATTGGGGAGGAGTGGTTTGTCTGTCTTGATCATTATCATTCTGTGGATGCTAATATGATTTATAGGAGCTTGTGGCTTTCCTGTAGGAATGTTAGTTCAACTGGTAACTAACCAGTAGCAGAGCTGGCCTCTGCTTATGGGCTGTGCCCATTTTTAGCTCCTTAATTTGTGTATGTAAACAAAGATTATCCTAGATTTAGCACTATATGGCGCAGTGTATCATCTAGGGCAAAAGTGATTTCTGCTCTTAAGGAAAAAACTGATAGTTGTGTACACTGGGGTGTGGGGGGCAGAAATGTTGAAATACTTTCTCAGTGGCACCGACGTAATCTCAGGCAGAGCTGTACAGGAGTTTCTGGCCCAGGCTGCTGAGCCCTGCTGGCAGCAAGAGCAGGCTGCAGAGACATATGGCTTGGTTAACAGCAAACCACCCCAGGTTCATTAACTCAGGCTCAGCGTGCTGTGAAAGCAGCTAAACTACTTTACTCCAGGGTTAGCTTGGATCCCAAATAAGCTGCCTGTACACAGCGCTTTGTCTCCTCTAATAACCTTGCCAGGCCCAAGCTGCTTCTGTGCCTGAGATGGGGTCCATCCGCAGCCCTGACGCATCACCAGAGGACAACTGAGAGTTGATGATAGTAGATATATACCTAGAGTCCTCTGGAGGGCTGGAGGCAGTGTTACCTTTTGTTTGCTTTGCATGCAGTCAATACTGAGCTTTTTGCCACTTTCCTTGGCATTTTGGAACACTGGGACTGAAATGATTTCTGATGCTGTGAAAGTCATACAGAAGAATTTTTTTAAGAGTAACACATTGTGCAAACTATTTCCCCTTGGAACAGCAATATAACTACTCTGATATTCCGATTTGCCATGCCATCAAATTCCAAGATCAAGGTAGACATAATTCTGCGTCAGTATTCTAAAATGCCGTGAACGTGTTAAAAACCACAGTCCACAAAGCCATTGTTAATTAATGCTACTGTCATTCACTTGCAGAAAAAGCTTGCTTTGATCACTGTCATCATTCACTTGCAGAAAAAGCTTGCTTTGATGTCCAAAGAAACCACAGTAGGAACTTTGAAAACTCCTGGGATTTTTAAAGCAGCAACTTCACTCCTTCCCCTCCTTGCACCCACCTCCTTGCTGTTCATTCTGTCTCTCCATCCTTTTTGATCTTTTTCTGCCTACGCTTTTTTGCTTCATGCCAGAATTTAAATCAGGTTGTCGTGTTTCACACTATGTGCGCAAACTGCATCCTGGGGTGCATCAAACCCAGCATAACGAAGCGGTCAAAAGAGGTCACCATCTTGCTGTATTCAGTGTTGGTGCGGCCTCACCTGGAGTACTGTGTGCAGTTCTGGGCCCCACCATTTAAGAAGGATGTGAAGGTCCTTGAACGTGTCCAGAGGAGGGCAACATGGAAGGAAGGCATGTCCTCCAAGTAGCAACTTTGGGCTTTGGGCTTGTCTAGTTTGGAGAAAAGGAAGCTGATGGGTGACCACATTTATCTCTACAGCTTCCTGAGGAGGGGAATTGAAGAGGGAGGTGCTGAGCTCTTCTCCCTGGTATCCAGTGATAGGGCATATGGGAACGGTTCAAAGCTGCGTTAGTCAGGGGAGGTTTAGACTGGACATTAGGAAGCATTTCTTTGCTGAGAGGGTGTTCAAACACTGGAACAGGCTTCCTAGAGAGGTGGTGGATGCACTAAGCCTGTCAGTGTTTAAGAGGCATTTGGAGAATGCCTTGAAGAACATGCTTTAATTTTGGTCAGCCCTGAATTGGTCTGGCAGTTGGACCACATGATGGTTGTAGGTTCCTTCCAACTGAAATGTTCTGTTCTATTCTGTTCTAATGTAGGACAGTGCATCGGACAATGATTACCCCATCTTGACTATAGCCATTAATGTAGATGTTATACAAATTGAGGGGAAGGAAGAAATTTATTCTGCGGGTGGGTGAGGAAGTGCTTCCAATAGTCTGTTCAGAAGCGTCATATGTAAGGAAGGGAGTTCTTCACTTTCTTTTGAGTAAGTGTGCCTCCTGGGGATGGAATGTTAATAACTGGATATTGATTTTTCTTTCCCTTACAGGCAGCACAAACCTTGCATGTATAGTTCAGTTGAATGACCCTATGCAGAAGTTTTCCAGCTCTGTAGCCAAAAATGCTGCAAATCCCTTTTGGAAGGAAGAGTTTATCTTGTAAGTAACTTATCTCCTAGGAATATTTTTATAATAAAGCATTTCTTTTTTGCTTAAACTATGTGAGATTTCAAGGCAAGAATGGCATTTTGAAGTATGTTGTTTCTGATGGCCTCAGAGATACCTGGAGCTGGTAGGGACTTCAGGATATCTAATTACCTTTTTCATGCATATAAGATCAAATAGGTCTCTTGTTCTTCGTTGGTAGGTATCTGATTCTATTAAATGACAGCAGTAACAGCTATAATAAATCACCCTGTGACCATACAGTGACAAAAAAAGATTGTTAGCGAGGTTTTGAAGTTACTTTACTTTGAAAACTGCATTTGAGGAAATCTGATGTCTCTCCTTTCCCTCCCTTGAGTGGGAAATGTAAATGTGCAAAAAAATTGACCATCTAAATGAGTGGTGGCTATGATTTAAAAGGTTGGGTTTTTTTCCTGTAGAACAAAAATGGGAATTTCAGGCAGCCTGCCTGGTATTCTGTGGCTCACACAACTTCTGTAAATAAGGTCAAGAGTGAGCAGTTCTAAAACTATTTTCATTTTCACTTCATAGTGGCAGAGCAGAAATATCTGGTAGCTTCTGTATTGTGTGAGGAAGGGGGAGCCACTGATGGTGGGGTTGGTCAGAGGGATGTTTCTCTAGTGGCTTTAAACACGTTCACAGACAGGCAGAAGCAGCTTCCCAGGGGAACAGGGTAGAGATGCTGCCATGCAACATGCTGCAGATACTGCTTTCTGGGTTTTTTTCTACCGGATTATTAATGTGAGAAGCATTTGATGTGCAGTGGAGTCTCTGGTTATTTCTGTAGCTTTGATCTCCCATCTCAGTTCTATTCCCTTCTCTCTATATATATTAAAAATGTATTTCAGAAAGTAGTGCTGCTTGTTTTCATGTGACGCTTATCTTCACTGTCTAGTCACAGCCTGACATCCACTGTATCTATTTCCCTCTCTTGCAAAGCAGGGGCTTAGCTTACAAGGAACTGAGTGTGTATTCAGACCTATGCGTGTCCATGCTGGGTGCTCTCTTCCTCCAGGGCTGGTGTACACTTCTGCGTGCTCCTCCTCAACTTGAAGGGGGAGTGAGCGTGCAGTGCACACATCTTTTTCTGCCTCCTCATCGCAGTCTACTGGACTGCACCTGTGAATGTTACGGACCGTGCACTGCAGGGACAGGAGAGCTGAGGGAACAAGCAACAGGGGCTGCTTGGTTTGAAGGAAGGTGCCAGGATCGGTCATCACAAGTTGCACAGGACTTGGAGAACATCAGACCCCTCTGCGTGTGTGCAGGGTGTGGAGATGATTAGAAGTCACTATAGTCAGCAAAGAAAAATTGATCATAGAATTGTCTAGGTTGGAAGGGACCTTAAAGATCATCTAGTCCAACCATCAACCTAACTCTGACAAAAAAATAAATAAGAAATAGGAAATAAAAATTACTGAACCATATTCCTGAGGACCATGTCTACCCATCTTTTGAACATCTCCAGGGATGGTGCCTCAACCACCTCCCTGGGCCGCCTATTCCAATGCTGGATAACCCTTTCCGTGAAGAAATGTTTCCTAATATCCAATCTAAACCTCCCCTGGTGCAACTTGAGGCCATTTCCCCTTGTCCTATCTCCTGTGACTTGGGAGACGAGACTGACCCCCGCCTCTCTACATTCCCCCTTCAGGTAGTTATAGAGCACGATAAGGTCTCCCCTCAGCCTCCTCTTCTCCAGGCTGAACACCCCCAGCTTCCTCAGCTTCTCCTCATAAGACTTACTCACCAGCACCTCAATGTCTTTATTGTGGGAAGGGGCCCCAAACTGGACACAGTACTTGAGGTGAGGCCTCACCAGTGCTGAGTACAGGGGGACGATCACCTCTTGGGTCCTACTCACCACCCTCTTCCTGATCCAGGCCAGGATGCTGTTGGCCTTCTTGGCCACCTGGGCACACTGCTGGCTCATGTTCAGTCAACAGTCGACCAACACCCCCGGGTCCTTTACTGCCAGGCAGCTCTCGGCCACTCTGCCCCCAGCCTGTAGTGCTGCCTGGGGTTGTTGTGACCCAAGTGAAGGACCCAGCACTTGGCCTTGTTAAACCTCATCCCGTTGGTCTCAGCCCATGGATCCAGCCTATCCAGATCTCTCTGCAGAGCCTCTCTACCCTCCAGCAGGTCAACACTGCCACCCAGCTTGGTGTTATCTGCGAACTTACTGAGGGTGCACTCAAACCCCTCGTCCAGATCATTGATAAAGATGTTAAAGAGAGCCAGCCCCAGTACCGAGCCCTGTGGGACACCACTTGTGACTGGCTGCCAACTGGATTTGAGTCCGTTCACCAAATGTTATAGAACAACACTGAGAGGCCTCACCTTTTTATGTGGTCTCATGGAGGTGTGGTTCTCATCCCGCTGTCAAGTGGAAGAGAAGCTACAAAGCTCTCTTCCTTCAGACTCAACGGGGTCCACTGGCTTATAAAGTCTGATTTTAGTTAGGAGGACCTACAGCTTTTGTGGAAAGCCACAGATCAGACAATGTTCTTCTGTGACAGTGTGCTGCGTTGCCATCAAGACTTAAGGATTAACATGATACAGTTTCTTCTCCACAGTAAAAGGGGAAAAAATGCACTTCTGTGGCAGCTTTCTGTTCTGGAGTATCTCAAAGCGCTTCAGGCACTGGGTCTGTGAATCACTTCAGCCATCTGTTGGTGGAACAGCATCCGTGCTCAGTGTCACAAAGCAAACATGTTCCCAACAATTTCGGACAGGAAGTTTGTAAGAATAATACCCTTTCCAACTGAAAGTGCAGAGGGAGGGCAGGCAGGATGTGATTAAGTAGACTGGAATTTCACCTTGACACTAGGCATAATGCTGGGTTTTCCACAGCATTGGCTGCTTTTCAGAAGTGCATGAGGTAAGCTTGGGGACTTTTACAGATGAGCAATCAGGATTTGGCTGCATACCTTTTTTTCAAGTTCACATCGTGCCCCCTCTCTTTCTTCAAAAACAAAAATGCCCACCAGTCTGAAGAGCAGTGTCCTGGCCACTGTGTTGGGCTCTGCTTTAGCTTCATGGGAAGAGCAGCAGTGGTACTATCAAGGTGCTTCCTTGCAAGCTTCAGAGGTGCAGGAGGGGATGGTAGTGGCAGGGAAAAGCTTAAAACCTGATGCACAGATGATGTCCCACAGCATCTAATGGCGGTGGGATGCCTGCAACCATCATCACACCATCCTGAAATGGAGACGTACAAAAATAAAACACATATATGTATGCCCTTAAGGTTTTTGGCAGAACAGCTCCTGAGAAGGTTATAAAACAGTTTTACTGGAAGGTTCCTCAGCAGGTACCCTGTTTGCTTCACTGTCTCAATTAGAAGAATGGTTTTATCATCTGTTGTCTAGTCCATCTTATGAAGTACTGCACATGCTAGCAATTCTGCTAATAGTTCACATTGGTTCTGTCACACGGAAACTAGTTCTTGTTGTCTTGCAACGTCCTTGGGTCTTATTTTGGAAAAGTAATACTGACTCTTCTCACATAGAACTGCTTGTATTTACTTGTATCTATCCTGCTTTCGCAGGACGCTTTCCTGCTTTGACAGGATGCCCTATGGCTTTGAATGGTTGTTGATGGGACCTGTTCCAGTATCTTGACTTCCAAATTTGATCCTGCAAATAGCTTCTTAGTGCTGGGGTGTAGCAGTTGGATTAGGGACCAACATCAGTTTGAAGGGCGGTGTTTGTCAACTGCTGGGGAGAAGAAAAGCCTCTGAAATTTTAGGCAATTGGTTTTAGGCGACAGTGCTGGAGAGAAGCAAGCTAAGTTTGTCTGGCTGTGATCCCTTTAGTCAGTCTTACCTGAGGTCAAAAAGATGCTGCACGGGCAGCGTCCCCAGCAGGGCTGCCGAGTAGTGCTGCCTGCCTGGGTTAGCAGGTCGTACTGCTGGGCTTCCTGCAGGCCAGGAAAAGTCGGGGAGTTGGCAACCAGAGCGGGAAAGGGGAAAACCTAAGTCGGGAGAAAAACCTGCTCACCCGCGAAAACCTAACATAGTTTCGTTTCTTTCACAGTGATGGGCTTCTGCAGGCCAGGAAAAGTCGGGGGGTTGGCAAAAGGGGGAAAGGGGAAAACTTAAGTCGGGAGAAAAACCTGCTCACCCACAAAGACCTAACATAGTTTCGTTTCTTTCACAGTGAACTAAGTGCCAAATCAAAAACATTGCAACTGCAAATAGTAGAAGATGGAAAGTTGGATAGTAAGTATTAAAACTGAATTATTTTGCATGATCAGCTTGTGAGCATTGCTAGATGTTGACAAAAGCTCTCTTTTAGTTGTGCCCAGCTTTATAGCCATATAAGAAACTCTCAGATTTCTGAACCTGCATGGAACCTGCTACCTAAAGCCTAGATGTCTTACGCTGACTTACCCTGGTATTGACATCGAGTATACCTCAGGCAGCCCTGGGGGGAAGAACAGCTGTGGAAGGGAGATCAGATGAAAATAGCCAGTCAGACCTGCATGAAATGGAGAGCTTGGGGAACAATTGTAACTTAGGTTTGTGTTTTTAAATGCCGTGAGCCTGTCCTTAGATTTATGTACTAGAGTTGAAATCCGTGGAAAATCGCGGAGTTCTTGGGAAACACGGATTGACCTGGGTTAAGTGCTGTGTATGTACACTGTTACTTCCATCAGGAATTGTGGACAGAAGAGAGAAAATACACTGTTCAAGTGTCTCCATCCTCCTCAGAGTTAAGGTTACAGAGAAGCCTTGTGTTTCTTTCTAGACTGTCAACATTCTGAGACTAGCATCTGCTGATTGCCTAATTTTTCAGCCTTCTAAATGTTTAACAGATCCACTGTGAGCAATTTTGGTTTCAATTTAAGCTTTCCAGGTCTTTCTGTGGCTGAAGGGGAATCATGGGCATTAATCCCTAATACTTCCTTTTCAAGCCCCAGAGGCTGACTAGCAATTATCAGGTATAAAACACACCAATTCTGCTTATATTGGATTAAATATAAGATTTTGGGGCTGAAACTTTTTTACTACTTAATTCTATTGTTGCAGTTTGCAAGTAGCCTTCAGTGGCAAGAAAACCCCTCCACTGAACTATTGCATTTGGTTTATTTGGAGAAGCATTACCTTCCTGGTGGGGGCAAAGGGTGGGTGGGTGCTGAGACCAGACACCATGTTGAGGTGTTTGCATAAGCTTTGTAAACTTGTTCCAGGTACTTCATTACTTGGGCTTTATTGAAGTGATGAGACAACATCATAAATTCTTCTAAACACTGCATGTTCTTTTGCTGATACGGAGTTTTGCTGTAGCTAGAAATAGTAACTGTATTTTACCTCTTGGATCCATTTGCTTTTTCCTTGTTATGTTAGGTTTCAGGTGTAAAACAAACAAAAAAGAAACATTAATTTTTGACACCAAGCTATTTCTCTTAGTAGTGTCAGTAATATTCAGCTGAGTTCAGGGAAAGGTAAAAGTGTTGGCCAAAGCTTTTCATACCCAGAGATGAAAAAAACCTGCTTTTACTCATGGTGTCTGTGATAGTGGATGAAGGTTTGGCCAATAATTTATTAGGTAATAATATTTTATCTAAGCCACAGTTAATAAGTAATATAGCCAACTGGACTATGTTTGATTTTCAGTTTTAGCTTATTGTATTCTTTTTAATTTTTAATAATCTACATACACAAAGTCGTGCAATACCTTGCATGTGATCTGCGATTATTTGAGGCACTGGGAAGTCAAATTTAGGCAAATGCTTTAAAAAACTTACTTGATATGGATGCCGGGTTTTATTTTTAACAAAAAAATGGGATCTGTATACAGTCAGAAAATGTGTACTGTTTCTTGCATAAAGTTTAGTCTTGCCTACATCTGTGCATTTTTAGCACTGGGTCTTCCAAACAACCAGTTACATTTCACATCCTACTGAGAGTGTAACTACCAACCTGGTTTCTTGAAGAAAAAGGTTCCCAATTGGTTGTTCTCTCTATCGTCTGTTTTCCCCCCTATATCTTCTTAGCTGTTCTCCTCCCAGAAATTTGAGTAGAAAACTCAAAGTAGAATCATATTAGTAACGAGAGAGCTGAGTGATGTGAATATAATTTAGACCTTTATTTGTCTTTGAATTCTGCAGAAAACCAGGATTTCATCCCTAAAATCATGCAGTAATTCTACTGATATTTTGCTCCAGTCTAGTGTAGCTACTAAAGTAAGGGGAGGAACAAGAGAACCGCTGAACTTGTACTAAATATCAAATTAAGAAAATATATTATTAATGATGCACCAGTTTACCAGGAACCCAGAGTATTCTGTGAAGTGAAATATTAGATGGTTTTTTTTCCCTAAATAGTCTGCATATATGGGGAAAAGCAATGGCTGGAAGTAGTGGCAAACAGTAATGTTTCATCTCTCTGTTCTTCCCCGTTGTGCAGTATTAGGCCAGGCTGAGGAATAGTCGTAAAATAGAAAGCAAGCTGTGAAAACTGCCATGTTTCTGCCCCGTGGGGTAGAACCAGTTCTTGCAATTAGCTGCCTGTCTTCTTCCTGCTCCCTTCCCATCTTCTCACCCTTAAACATACTGACAGCCCGGATGCGTGCTGATTTTGTTGATTTTGTTTCTTCTAGGACCTTTGTCTGCAAAGGTGACTGTACCTCTAGACTTGTTCAGGAAACAACCTTCTGGCCAGCAAAGCTTTGCACTGAACAGCAGGGCCGGTGAGAGCAGCTCAGAGCCAGGAGCCGGGCTGGGATCCATTAGTGCAGAGGTACGACTGCCTTTGGATGGTTTTACAGGGGATCTTTTACTTCGGGAAGTAACTGCAAATGCTCATCTTGTGCTTTGGTCTGTCGCTCACAACGCAAGTGCCATTTGTGGCTGAGTTAGAGTAGCACATCTGGGATTTGCATGGTAACACTTCATATGGGATTTGTGTCTATCAAAAGAATTAGCTGTTTGCCTCTTGAACGTTAGTAAAAATGTTAAAGAAGTACTAGCTAGAAATTATAGTGTCCTCCTTACTTGACTGTGCTTCTAAAGTGGCGGTTTTTTGTCTTCCCAGTTCTCTTTTATAGAACCCAATGAATTAAGGACGTGGCAAGTGTCTTCTCCAGTGCCAGCCACTAAGATAGAAAAGGATCGCACTGTGATGCCCTGTGGGACCGTGGTCACTACTGTAACTGCTGTGAAAACCAAACCTCGTCTAGAAGGGAGATCTTCTCCACTGAGCACAGGTGAGGAAGCCCACTTCTTTGTGTTTACTCTTAGGGTTATCTGTGGGGACCAGGAGAAGTTGGGGGGGTGGGATGTAAGGAAAGGTGCTCTTGTCCAGACTTCTCTGAGGTGTTGGGGGGGTGTCATTGTTTGTATTTTTCAGAATCAGGTTTTTAGTTTTCATGAAACCTTGACAAAGTTTGGGTTTTTTTCAGCAGGTCTTTCAGGAGTAGTTTCTCTGATTCTCCTTGGCATAAATATGAAAGTATAACCTCTGAACAGTCTTTGTGTGAAGTCTCACAAAGAACTGCATTCTTTTAAGTTGTTAAAGCAGGTCTTTTACTTAAGTGGGTGTTGTCTAGCATATTACAGTAACATTTTTAAAAACAATACATTCCTACACTTCACAGGTCTTTTGGGGTCTGGTTACCATAGAGAGTATGTGTTGAAAATATGTAATAAACAGCTTTCTCAAACAATTGTGATTTGAACAGGCTTGAACATTGGTATAATAAATTATTATTTTCCTCATAGATGTCTTGAATAATTTCATTAACCAAAAAACTTGGTCCTCAGATTCTCCTGTGAAAACTCCAGTTAAAGTAAAGGTGATTGAAAAGGATTTCTCTATTCAAGGTATCCATTCTCACGGTGCTCCAGTCAGCAAAACTTTATCATCTTCAGACACAGGTAATAGAATGTTCAAAGCTGCTAATGAGAACACATCTCCCTCTGCTACACATGGGATTAATGTAATCTTGTTAAAATAACAGCAAACCCATATGTCTTCTGCCTTTCAACAGGCACTGAGATGTTTATGTTAGCCAGTACTGTGGTTAGGGATATAGCAGTCTTGCAGTAGAAGTCTGTTTTTAATTGGTGATTTAAATTGCTAATTTTGAATAAATAACAATGAGCTGTGGTTTGGAGTGGGGAGGTGACTGTAGAAAAGCCAGGCTGTGTTTTTTGTTACTTTTGAATGAAAGATTCCTCCTTCATAAAGGCATGGGGGACACTGCACAAAATGAAGAACCCGTGAAACTTACCTCTAAGGCTGTTTTGATGCCCCCCCCGAGTCTGAACAGAAGGCATGAAGCTGGACTGATGTAAGGAAGACTGAATTCTCTTCCTACCCTGCCACTGGGCTTTTTTGTGCTAATGCAAATACACAATGTTGCCGTGCCTGTTTGTCCACCTTTCTAAGTTACCTGGCACAGAGCTGAAGTGCCTTCAGAGTGTTAGGTGGCATTGATAATAACTTTAATTATAAATTCACTTTGATTAAACTCGATTCAGACTCTGGGGCATTTTACCTTTTCGAGTTGCAACTCTGAATCTTCAGCCTGTTTTTCAGTCCTGTGTGTGTTCACCATTCAATTTTTCTGTAGCTCTATAGGCAACAGTAATGAAAGATGTGGCCCAGCCTAGCTGCAAATGGCACATGATGTAGAGTTCAGTTTTCTTTGTATAGGCTCGAGTACAGATGGGACAATCTGGAGATGATCTAGACTGCTCATGGAAGAGTCAGAAGGCTTTCTGAGAGGGAGAAATGGATTGGCCAAAAGACAGAAAATCTGGGGAAGAGCATGAACCAGTGAATAGCTGTAACAGCTGCTGAATCTTTCCCTCCCTCTAGACTAAGAAATACTCTGATACCATGAAGCAGGATGGTTATTACTAAGCCAATTTGGGAAGTGTTAAGATAGTGTTAGACTTCTGAGTTAACTCTCATAATTGTTTATTACATTAAAGATACAAAGCACTTACTAGAAAACTCATCTGAGGACAACTTTGGAGCACATTGATATGGACAATGTTTTTCTTCTTATGGGAGTCTAGGGGAATATCTGTGAAATGCTTATACAATACAGCAGGAAGAATTACTCATTAGAACAAAAGTTTAAGTCAAATGAAAGAAATACAGAGGAGCATTTGGTATGGCAATAACTTAGATAGTAGTTATTACAAACATCGTGCCAAAATAGCAACAAGCACTGTGGAAAAGATGCCGTGGCCATGGCATAGTTTTAAGTGATGACAATAAGAATTAGCAAGTGCCACTGATGCTGTCCTGGATGCTCTCAGCTGTTCTTGGAGGCTGTGCAGTGACTGGGGAGATGGAAAAGTCAAGGTTTATAATGAGTGTGCAGACGTGTGTGGGCACGTGTACCCCTTGTGCAGACATACTTTTAAGTTCCAAAAGTTTCCAAGTTACTTGGTGCAGAGTAATTATTCAGGCTTCGTCTTTTATTGCATTAATGTCACAGTAACAAAAGACACTGTTCGGTTTAATTAACACTGGTGCTATTCCTGCCTGTATTCTTTTGTTGTTTAATTTCTTATTAGAAAAGCCCACTTCAGACAATTAAATATGGGGATTTTTGTTTTGTTAGCTTTCTTAGCCTTGTTTGTTCCTAAGCTTGACAAATTTGATTAGTGTGTATTTGTTGTGCCCAAAGTACTTGCATACTAGATGCTAGAAATGGTCATGCTTAAAAATAAACTTGTGTTTGTTGCTAAAGAGCATTTTATAAAGCAGGTTTTGTAGTCCTGTGCGACGTTTGGAGGGGAAAAAGAGGTGCACCTGACAAGCTTTGGAGGCAGCTGATAAAGGGCAGAGTGACTGCAACTTTGCCTTCCCCACCCTATCATAGCGCTGTAGCAAATTTGGAAATGCCAAGCAAGGACATCTGGAAAAAGAGCAAAAAAGCTACTGGAAGAAGTAGTAGCATGTGCCAGCTTTGTCCCATGTTAGAACTATGGCTCTTCATGACTGAGATGACCTGATGTTCTACCCACTGCTTCTGGATTATAGTCACTGCAGCTTAGCAATGCATTGCAATAATTGGGTATTTTGTCTATAGACATCCAGGAACTCCTGTGTGCTCAGGACAAGTGTTTGTAAGTGCAGCTTGGGTAGCTTTTCTCAAAAGAATGGGTACAAAAGGGAAAGCCAAGTCCCAATAGCTGGGTGATGAGTTGGAAATTGCTTTGGTATGCTTGCTGTTTATATAATTTCTGCTGCTTCTTTGAATTTTAAGACAAAAACAAACTCTGCCTCTCTTTGCTCTGTATTTTCCTGTTTTTCTTTCTTTGAAAGAAATAATGCTTTCTTTTCTCTGAAATAATGCTTTCTTTTCAGAACTGCTGGTACTGAATGGCACCGATCCTGTTGCAGAAGCAGCCATTCGGCAGTTAAGTGAGTCTGCAAAGCAGAAGCTGAAGTCTCCTAGAAAGAAGAGCACCATTATCATATCAGGGGTGTCCAAGGTAGAGCAGAAAAAAACACTTATATTTAATGCTTAGTACTATAAAGCCTTTGGTCCACTGAGTGTGACATGCATTCTGCTGTCTCCCATTCTGCAGTCTCTGCAGGATCTAGATCTGTGCACCAGTTTGTTTCAGTAACTCTTTCAGGTTAAGCCAAATCAGGGTGGGTTTGTTGGGGAGGGTGTTGGTTTTTGATTGTTGGATTTGACAGCCTTACTGAAAATGCATGGTATCCTTGGATGGGAGTGGGATGATGAGGGATTTGGGACAATCAATTTAGGTGAGAACAGGGGATAATTGGTCCTTTTCTGTGTTTCAGTCAGGGTGGGAAGATGCACAGAAAAATCATGAAAGATTTTTCTTGGTTTTTTTCAAAGTTGTTAAAACTCTCTGAAAAACATCCTAGTCCTCTGGGCTGTGTTCCAGAGGGAGGGTAAACGGAAGACTTTTTTTCCCCATGGTATATAGCATTCCTCCAGACTTTCTTCATCCACAGCCTCAGTCTCCCATCTGATGCTTGGTGCCTGCCTGTAGTCCTTTCCTTGCAGGCTGCTGTATGGGCATTTGCTGTTACATCTTCTGGTTATGCACAGGAGCCCTAAAATGCTCCAAGTGAAAGTCAAGTCAGTGGGCATGGATCCCCTTTGTGATCACTGTGCTGTGGGCAGGGAATGAGGATCAGCTGCCACAGTGCTGAATGTATCTGCTTGGGAAATGGGGGCACCGGGGCTGGGTGGATATGTGTTTAGCTGATATAGATGCTAAGAAGTCCTTCTACAAGATGAAACACTTTGAAGTTTATTTGTTTTAAAAGACCAAAAGATTATTGTCTATGCATGCTGATACTTCATTACAGCAGCATATGTAGGAAAGAGTTCCATTATTACCAGTGGGGCCAGAAGTAGGTGGGAAGAACATACATTAATGTTTTTTTCCACGCTTTTGGCGTTAATGACATCATTAAAGCTTGGCTAAATGCTCCTCTCCTTTAGTGGAGCTGAGGTGGCTCACAGTGGCTTTCTGATAGCCTTGAGCAATACAAGTAAAAGTGTAGAGGAAAGAACTTTTGCAGGGAGGCTTGTTTTCTTTCCAGCAGAGCAGCTTGTTTTAGTGTTGTCTCTTATTTTCACCGGGCAGACTTCTTTATCTCAGGACAGTGAAGCTGCACTGATGATGGACTATGCTGCATCCATGGACAACTCCTGCAAAGTAGAGTCATCCACTGTGGAGGAAGCTGTTGCAAAAGTCACCTCTGATGAAAAGCTATCATTAGGTACTTCAGAAATAGTACCTGATTCTGACCCACAGCAAAGTGCCCATAAGGCCTGGGGTTTAGAGAACGGCAGCCAACAGTGGGACACCAACACGCTCCTAGACCAGACCTGTGAAGAAATATCTGGGAGCTCATTAAGTGTTTCAGAGACTGGGAGCATGAAAAAATCTAAAGGTATGTGATCCTTGCCTTGCTTTAGTGAAAGACTGCTTTCTCTACGTAATTGGCAGTGTCATGCAACACTGTAGTAGTTCATCCTTTCTTACTGATTTTCATCCTTAAATTCCTTGTGATTGTGGTCTTGGTTGAAGCTGTCTTACTAGCAGCCATAAGGAGTGCAGTCCTCTGGCTCTGTGAGACATGGCATGCTCTCTTACACTCCCCTCCATCAGGAAACAGAAGAGCTCACCCTTAGAAATTGAAGGGCAGCTTGCTACACCTCACTCAGTCATCTGGGAGAGAAATAACCAGCCATGTTGTCAAATCCTTGGTAAAAAATGTGTTCTTGTAAACACGGATTTGCGCTATCTTAGCAGCCCCATTACTAATGTGAAGATGGTAGGGTTCTAGGGTTGCTTTCTGATACGTTTCTTCTCCTCCTTCTCATCTCTGAGCACAAGGCTCCCCTGCCCTCACTAAAGCGTGTGTTCAGGAAGCACCACAGCTAAACCAGAAGTACAGTCACTCTTAACGGCCTTGTGAACAGTTTCTCCCTTTTCACTGATTTCATTAATACATAGTTTGCTAAAGAAAATGGAATAAAGGGTAATTTAGTAAGTAAATAAAGGGTCAGATTGTTTTGCTTATATAGTGACACACCTGGATAGTGGTAGCTGCAGTTTGAAAATGTCTTGGGATTCGTTGTGTTTCCTTTTTAAATCCATTAACCTCTGAGGCTGTATTGCTTGTTTGTGGCTAAGTTGTAAAGACAGGGGCTGTTCAGGAGTCTGACACAAGAGCCAGTGCAGTGGACTATGTCCTGAGCAGGTGTCACACCAGTCTCATGTTGAAGTTGCAAAAATTGTCGTGTTTCTCACCCATATCCATCCCTGCTTTATTTTTTTCTATTCTTTCCTTACTCAGAGATACTGTAAAATGGCTTAGTACAAAACCTCAGCGTAGCCCCCCCACATAAGGCATACCCTGGACCTCTTTTGCCAAAGCTCTCCCTTAGAGCATCAAGGCTTTCTGGCCTTGCAGTTGTATTGCTCCACCTGGTAGATCAGGTTGCGACAGCAACAAGCAATTTGACATCGATGGTCAGGCACTGGAAAGTTTTGGGTAGGTTTAGGGTGGGGGTAGAGGGTTAATTGTGGAGGGATGTCTCATTTGGAGCCTGGAAAAGTTTAGAACTCTGTATGAGTCTTTGCAAAACCTCTGGACTCTTCCTTAACACGTTATTCTATAACAATCAAGTGGAAGTGTGTATGTGAGCTGTTGTCTAGTTCTGTTTTTCCCTGTGCAGAATGTTGCAAAGAGATCAGGCTTCTAAAGATCTTGTTTACATGATGTAGTATAGAACTGCTAAAAAGTGCAAAGTATCTCTTATATTTGAGAGTTGTCTCATCTTGAAAAAATATTTGAAAAAACACTCTCAAATCCCCTTCTTGATAAACAGATCTCTTTGTGGAAGTCTTGTATCTCTGCTTCATCAAAACTGAGTACCATTTTATGGAGTGAGATAGGAAAACATTTCTGCATTTCCATCCCCCTGCCTTCAGGTGACTTTGAATAGTTCAAGGTTTATGTTCTGTCAAACACTTTCTCCTTAAAAAAAAAAAAAAAACATAACAACAAAGAAACTCCAAAAACCCCAAGCAAAACAACACCAAACCCCCTCTGCTTGAAAAAGCTTTGTATATGGTATTAGTGTCTTAAAGTTAGCACTGTCTTGCTTTTTTTTCCTACTCTTGCATGTTTATGGGTTTTACCTTTCTGACTTCCACTTTCTTATCCATTCCCTTTAATAAACTTAAGAGGACTACTATGCCAACCAGAATTAATTGCCTACACAGTAAGTTATTTCTGTCTTCTTTTTTTTTTTTTTTGAGAAAATGTAGCTTTACAATGGTACACTCATTGTAAAAACTGAAGCAAAACATAGTTTGGCTCCCGTTTTCTTAGTCCCCGCTCCATTTCTTTCCTCCCTCCAAAATTACCTTCCTGTGCTCAGGTATCTTAGCAGACAATTCTGCTGTAACAGATCATTCTTCTGGTGGTCGTGCTGTCCAGGTGGGTCATGCAATATGGACAGCAAGGAAGGCTTGGAGGGGTGCTCTATGTTCCTGATCTCTCTCCATCATGCCCATTTCTGTAGTATCTGGTTATCAATCAAACATCTGCTCATGCAATCCGTGTGTGATCCCCATAACTGTATATGCATATGCAGAATGCTTATTTCAAAAACTGCTGCTTACAGTTTTCTAGATCTCTTTTCTAGACAAACTCATAGAGCTACGAGGACCTTAGAAGGTATTTACAAAACCACCTGAATAAAAACTGTTTTGGAAGTTGGGAAGGAATGGAAAAAGCCATCTCTGTTTGTATCCCTGTAGATGTGGAAGGAGATCTTCCTTCATTAACAGCAAGGAGATTCAGAAGTGATCCTAGCCCCACAAGTACTTTCAGAAAACCCTAGACTGGTGCACAGAGGCTGTGAAAGCTAGTCAGTCTGTACAGCGCTCTTGACATGCTCTCTGCTTATCTCCTGGTGTTAGGGGCAGAGTTGGCATATGGATCCTGTTGAACTCCAGAAGTAAGCATGCAAATAGCACCAGCATCGCCAAGCTTGTGGTTTGCCCTACCCTGCCTTTTCAGCAGGGCTGCATGCCTCCACAACAGCCGGAGCCACTGTCAGGCAGCACGTACCCAACTGGCTACAGACTGATGGGTGGCAGCGGGGATGTGGCAAGCTTCCAGGTAGCAGTGACCTCGGTACCTCTGAAAACACAGAGAGCTTTCATGTCGGGACACGGGGGCTGCTGCTGCTTCTGCTGAGCTTGTGGTGCTCTCAGGGAAGCCCTGCCTGCAGTTCTGCAGCTGCAGCGAGTTGTCCCAGGCCACCAGCACAATTTTTTGCAGGGTTCTTGGTTTGGTTCTGTTTCCTAGTATGGGAAATCAATCCGAATGGATAGGACTAAATAGCTGCTAATGGATAAACCCTTCTGTCCTGCTCCTTCTGTTGGCACAGCTTCAGCAGCAGCTGCCAAGACCGCTGAGCAGAACAGCTGACTGCTAAAACAAAAGCCACACAGCAGCAAGGCCTCATCAATCCCCCCCGGCCTTTGCATATTAACAACTGTCAGTATCATGGGGTTGAACTCTGTTTCTTTTATGCTGTTGACAGCAGCTTGAAGTGGTACTGCCTTGCCAAAAAGATCAATCAGAGGGCGATGGGAGAGCAGTCAAGATTCAAATCCGTGAGTTCCAGTTGCTTTCAGCTGACTTTTGCTGCCATCCCATCGTGCCCTGTGAGAAAAGTCTTGGCAGCAGCAAGACAAAACGTGCTAGAATATCCTCCCAGGTGCTGAGTGCTTAGTCCTTAAAGTACAGAGTAGTAATCCCAAGCACGTGTTTGTAACTGCTCTGTCCTGAACAAAGAGGCATCTGGCTGCGTGCAACAGAGCTGCCGTGAAATACCTATTCTGCAGCTGTCGCTGTGCAAAACGACACGCAGCCTGGGTCAGGTCCTTGGGGGACAAGTGTGTAATTCCAGCTACTGCACAGTAGCGCATGGAAGAATGGGTCTGTGTGTTGCTTTTTGGTATCCACTTGCAATGGGAGGAAAAGCAGAATGAAGAGTGAAGGGACTGAGTCGCTGAACTGAGAAAGAGTCAGGAGACCTGATAGTGATGCAGGAACGAGGTGTGGAAGCTTTGCCAGGGAGATGACTGTCCCCACATACTAGTCTGACTGCCAGAAGGCTCCTGTGTTGGCTTGCTACCTGGGTCCTCCTTCATTCAAATTGGCTCGTGCCGCTTGGACAGCAGCATTACCCAATTCTAGCACAAATAGCACAAAACTATTGCTATTTTCACGTTGGGCTGATGTCCCGACGCCAGGCTGAGTGTTGCTGGTAGCTCGGAGGAGTGTCCCTGCCAGCTGCCACCGGGCTGCTTTACACACCAGGCACACGTGTGCACACGGAAAGGGAAGGTGGAATTTGGCAGAACGGTGGCTGCAAAAACAACTCGAGTTTGCAAAGAGGGAAGGGGGCTGGTGTTGGCAACACCGAGTCCCAAGTCCCTGGTGAGATGACAGCTGCAAATGCCTTGGCTGCGTAACAGGTTTGACGTGGGATCAAGGGAAGAAATACAACAAAATAAAGAAACTTAATTTACCACAGAAGGGATTTGAACAATTTTCCAAACCTGTTGGAAGCAGATGTAATACTGTTTTTAATCTGCTTGAAGTGAATTGCTATTCCTAACGGGATTTTACAATAGCAAATGCTTTGTGGTTGTTACTCTGGGTGATGCTACCAAATTCGTATAGAATACATGCTGCCTGGCTTTTACGGGCCTGCTGCATGCAGGTTGACTGCCAGGTACTGTTCTCTGGCACCAACAGTGTCCTTCACCTCAAATTAAATTGCCACCTTCATGTTGTGCATCACGGGCTAATCTTTTAATTTCAGCTCCTTTGATCTCTGAAACAACAAAGAGTAACATCACTTCCTCTATTTCATTCTTTTTGCTGTACTCTTATTATATTGAAAAGATGGGATATGCCTGTTTGACATGTGAGAACCCAGTGTACAACCCACACCAAACGCTGTGCATGTGTATGTTTGACCACTAACATAGCTTTCAGAAGAGCGTTTGAAACAAAGCGTAAGGAAGGAGGCTTCCACTAGATGTGTGGATTGACTTTAGAAGCTGAAATCAGAGAATTAATATTTGATTGCTCACAGGCGTCTTTCAAAGTAGCTTTCCTTCCTTTTCAACAGCAACATTTCTGAAAGAACTGAAGGAAAATTCCTTTATTCTTTAGTGCTCCTCTAGCAATGTATGTGAGCTCTTCTCTCCTGAACATTTCTGCTAACTGTCCAAGCCTGTGTATATGCATATATCTAGAACTACCGCAGTCTGTCATGATTCAGTTTGCATGACACTTGCATGGAATGAGGAGAAGCGGAGAAATACATACTTCCATGGAGTCTGAATTTCTCAGTGGTGTTCAGTTGGGAGAGAGCTGGATCAACAGCTGGGCAAGGAAGATTCCGTAGCATGTAGTGTGTGTGTGTGTGTGTCTCTGGCTGAAAGCACGATGATTGCTCGCCTTTGCCAGCATCTGAAATCACTTGTTCCAAGGTGGAGCTCGTACTGTTATGGCCTCTAGGTTACAAACCATCGATACTCTTGCTTTAGATTCACCACGCTCTTAGCTTTCTAACAATGTTTGAATAGTTACCAGGGTGATGCTTAGACTGGAAGTGTTAAGACCAAGGCTTTTTTCGGTCATGCTGCAGTTATGGTTAAAGGTGAGCTCCAGGAGGAAAGCAGCCTGTTCTGTCTAAAGTGTCCTGCACCTCTGCTGTTTGCTCCTGCAGGTGGGATTTTGAAAAAAAGCGCGAAGCTCTTTTTCCGCCGGCGACATCATCAGAAGGACCCGGGAATGAGTCAGTCGCACAACGACCTTGTCTACCTGCAGCAGCCCCTGTCGGAGGAAACGCGCAAGAAGGGAGGCACGCTTTCACGTATTCTCAACAGAAAACTCCTTTCCAAAAACAAAAGCAAGAGCAAACTGAATGGTGCTTCGGCGGAACCATACGTATAAGACTGAACACTCTCTGATGGGATACTTGCACGTCAGTTGACCATTTGTTTACAGAGCAGTACTAGAGAACACAAATATAGCTGATGACTTGCATAAGATGATGTTCACTAATACAGTAGTCCAGGAATAAACAGAAAGCTTGTCTTTTTTTATTTATTTTTCCAGAACGCTTCTTCCCTCTGATTATAAAGTTGCTCCTCCAAATACAAGCAGCACTAATTGTATCGTGACGGCTTTTGGAGGACGGTGTGGTTTATTGTAGAAGATGAGGGAGAATGGGGAAAGGTGCAGGTGGGGAGGACCTAGTTTACATTAATGGGGAGCTGAGAACTGAAACATCGTGTCTGCTGCATGACTGAACCATTATACAGAGAGAAGATACCACTGTGCTTCCTTCCTGCAGCCTGGAATAGTAGCAGCACAAGTCTCAACTTGTTTTTCTAGTCAGGCTGAAAGGGAAAAGAGAGACTCAGATCCAGTTTGTATTGTAATTTGGAAACGGGTAAGTTTTCAGAAGCAGACCTAAAATGCTGATTAAGATAGCCTACTGTAGTAACTGTAGCCTGCTGTAATAACTGCTCAGTCCCTGTAGGTGGAGAGATGCCTTTGATATTAGCCATAAATCAATAAATTATGCAAATACTTATACTAGCATATTGTTTAATGTTCTGTGCAGAAGTTATGCTTAAAAAAACAGAACTCTTTTTTTAAAGTCTACTTGAGTCTACTCGCAAACAACACATTTACAAATTCTCATGTAGCTTTTCTTCCCTGTGTGAGGAGCTGCGTTGCTAATGCAAAAACCTGTCTTAGGGGCTCTAATTCCTTCTCCCAAGTACTTGTTAGACAAGTGTATTAACCATCATATCCAATGCAAAGCTAGGAGCAATAAGTGGTGAATAGAGCATATTTAACCCCGTAATGCTTTGCACTAGACAGCTTGTTTTACTGGCCAAACGCTTACTGAGAACTTAGAAAACACAGTTGTGAAGAGAGCTTTTAAAAAGATAATTCCCTTGGTGGTCTTTCAGTTTCTAGATCTACTAGTGTTGTCATGTGGTGAGTGGTTGGTTGGGTGAGGTTTTTTACTTTTTTTCCTCATTAAATATTGCAGCTGGCTCCTTTAAATTAAAAGGAAAAACTGATTAAAGTAAAAGTATAGTTCTTGTTTTGGCTATTAAGAAGAGTGAAATATCAGCCAGTATTTCACAGGTACCATCTTTTATGCATACCTGTACTTTTCCATCATCTACATTCCTACCGAGGACAAAGGACAAAGCCTGTTCTCTTTAGCCAAGAAAAACATCCATTCCATCTAAATTACTGACATGAATGGATGATAGATTTGTGCCTGCTTTACCAACAGTGATTTTTCCCCCTGCCCCTGTCCTCCCCTTAAGACATCCAGCGCTTTGGCTTTCAACTTAAACCATCCTTCAAAAAATAGAAAGTCACTGAAGAACAGAAACACATTTCAAAACTTCTGATGGACTGTAGATTCCTACGTAAATAATTTTACAAAGAACATAGAAGTAGAGGGGTTTTGTTTTCTTTTTTTACCAAGAAAACATTAGAAGAAATGAACTGTCAATATCTTTTAGCTGAGCCTACTGTTTAAAAATACTGTTTATGTGTAACCTTCTAAAATCAGCGTGGTAGTACAGCAGTCCAGACTATCAAATAGTTGTACGTTTAAGCATGCTGCTTATTATGAAAACACTTGAAGGCATTTTAATCTTCTGTATTTTGAAAATTGGTTACAAATGCGTATTCTAGAGCTGTAACATGCTTAGAAGTCCCAGTTCAGTAATACAGGTTTGCCCAGCTTGTGCTTGAACACTTTGTTTTTTTCTTGTTAATTTGATACAAAGCAGAAGTTAGGTTTCTTCACTTGCTCATGGTATGAGCATTAAAAACCCTGACCTTACATTCTCTCAACATACCTACTTGGCTTTACTAGGAGCTCTTTGCATCACGAGGCAGGTTGGGGAGGGTCAAATCACTGTTGTATTTTAAATGCTCAGTCTTGTTTGCTGATGGAGAAAACCACAGCTGGTCGCTGAGTTCAAGAAATCAAGGTGAGACTGAGCTCCATGGGTAGCACCTCCTTACATTAAAAGTGAAGAGCTATGGAATTGGGAATGCAAAGAGAGCACGTGACACTACTTGAAGTCTATTTAAATTACTGAACTGGGATTTTAATTTACAGAAACTTCATCATGTACTGTAGAATGGGGTGGAAATAACACTGAATCACTTGCAGAATACAGGAGCAGGGTTTGCTTCTAGCTTACCCCAAAGAACAGGTACACACTGAAGAAGTCTGGGTTTCATTCCTAAACGTCTTGGTGATTGCCTAAATGCGTGTCTTGATGGTGGGAACCAAGAACGTTCTATACTGCAAACGGTGTGAAGGTTTGAGCTCACATATATTGAGAGAGAATAAATTATTAAGATGAGGAAAGCAAGGCATTGGGGGTATAAAGGGAATCTTGTTTTGTAATTGCCTTCACTCCTCAGGAAAATAAACAGCGCTTGATTTGATATCCAACCTCCATACCTGGCTGGTGTGCTCCTCACTTCTTCCTCCTTCTAGATCCTATATAGAAGACACTGGAACTAAACTGAGCACAGCCTGGGAATGTTGCAATCATTTTACTGAAAAAGTTATGTTCTAAATGAATGCTGCCACTAAGCCCTACCAGACTGAGGAAAAAGAAAATAATCAAAACCCACCAAAAGTAGACATTAACATCAAAATACCCATTATTTCCCTTCCCAAAGTGAGTGTGGTACCTCTTTTTGCAAGGAAATTGTGTGTTACCTCACTAGGAGTTACTGCCCACGTTTCTATGCCAGTTTATTTCATACTCTCGAAGTGCTTAGATGAAATCTCCTAATAGTTTCCCAACAAATTTCTTCTCCTTTCTGCTCTAATCTTGGGTGAGTTTTTTTTAACTTGTGTGATGCCATTAGTGTACACTAGCAAAGTCACAAGACCTGTCAGAGCAGAAGCAGGAATGGATGTAGCACCAAGTCTGGCACCCTACTCTTTCCTCTAGTTCATCATTCTTAAACAACAAATAGAAGGGATGGGCATTTTTGTTCATCTCTCTACCCCAGCGAGCTTGGTGTAAGATGTAAGTTCACTGACTAATGTTAACTCTGCAGAAACGTAGGAATACCAACCAAAAAAAAAAAAAAAAAAAAAAAAAAAAAAAACAAAAAAAACAAAAAAAACAAAAAAAAAAAAAAAAAAAAACCACCACCAAACAAACAACACCAGCTCCCACCACCTAAACACACAACAACCTCTTATATTTGAGAGTTGTCTCATCTTGAAAAAATATTTGAAAAAACACTCTCAAATCCCCTTCTTGATAAACAGATCTCTTTGTGGAAGTCTTGTATCTCTGCTTCATCAAAACTGAGTACCATTTTATGGAGTGAGATAGGAAAACATTTCTGCATTTCCATCCCCCTGCCTTCAGGTGACTTTGAATAGTTCAAGGTTTATGTTCTGTCAAACACTTTCTCCTTAAAAAAAAAAACAAAACATAACAACAAAGAAACTCCAAAAACCCCAAGCAAAACAACACCAAACCCCCTCTGCTTGAAAAAGCCTTGTATATGGTATTAGTGTCTTAAAGTTAGCACTGTCTTGCTTTTTTTTCCTACTCTTGCATGTTTATGGGTTTTACCTTTCTGACTTCCACTTTCTTATCCATTCCCTTTAATAAACTTAAGAGGACTACTATGCCAACCAGAATTAATTGCCTACACAGTAAGTTATTTCTGTCTTCTTTTTTTTTTTTTTGAGAAAATGTAGCTTTACAATGGTACACTCATTGTAAAAACTGAAGCAAAACATAGTTTGGCTCCCGTTTTCTTAGTCCCCGCTCCATTTCTTTCCTCCCTCCAAAATTACCTTCCTGTGCTCAGGTATCTTAGCAGACAATTCTGCTGTAACAGATCATTCTTCTGGTGGTCGTGCTGTCCAGGTGGGTCATGCAATATGGACAGCAAGGAAGGCTTGGAGGGGTGCTCTATGTTCCTGATCTCTCTCCATCATGCCCATTTCTGTAGTATCTGGTTATCAATCAAACATCTGCTCATGCAATCCGTGTGTGATCCCCATAACTGTATATGCATATGCAGAATGCTTATTTCAAAAACTGCTGCTTACAGTTTTCTAGATCTCTTTTCTAGACAAACTCATAGAGCTACGAGGACCTTAGAAGGTATTTACAAAACCACCTGAATAAAAACTGTTTTGGAAGTTGGGAAGGAATGGAAAAAGCCATCTCTGTTTGTATCCCTGTAGATGTGGAAGGAGATCTTCCTTCATTAACAGCAAGGAGATTCAGAAGTGATCCTAGCCCCACAAGTACTTTCAGAAAACCCTAGACTGGTGCACAGAGGCTGTGAAAGCTAGTCAGTCTGTACAGCGCTCTTGACATGCTCTCTGCTTATCTCCTGGTGTTAGGGGCAGAGTTGGCATATGGATCCTGTTGAACTCCAGAAGTAAGCATGCAAATAGCACCAGCATCGCCAAGCTTGTGGTTTGCCCTACCCTGCCTTTTCAGCAGGGCTGCATGCCTCCACAACAGCCGGAGCCACTGTCAGGCAGCACGTACCCAACTGGCTACAGACTGATGGGTGGCAGCGGGGATGTGGCAAGCTTCCAGGTAGCAGTGACCTCGGTACCTCTGAAAACACAGAGAGCTTTCATGTCGGGACACGGGGGCTGCTGCTGCTTCTGCTGAGCTTGTGGTGCTCTCAGGGAAGCCCTGCCTGCAGTTCTGCAGCTGCAGCGAGTTGTCCCAGGCCACCAGCACAATTTTTTGCAGGGTTCTTGGTTTGGTTCTGTTTCCTAGTATGGGAAATCAATCCGAATGGATAGGACTAAATAGCTGCTAATGGATAAACCCTTCTGTCCTGCTCCTTCTGTTGGCACAGCTTCAGCAGCAGCTGCCAAGACCGCTGAGCAGAACAGCTGACTGCTAAAACAAAAGCCACACAGCAGCAAGGCCTCATCAATCCCCCCCGGCCTTTGCATATTAACAACTGTCAGTATCATGGGGTTGAACTCTGTTTCTTTTATGCTGTTGACAGCAGCTTGAAGTGGTACTGCCTTGCCAAAAAGATCAATCAGAGGGCGATGGGAGAGCAGTCAAGATTCAAATCCGTGAGTTCCAGTTGCTTTCAGCTGACTTTTGCTGCCATCCCATCGTGCCCTGTGAGAAAAGTCTTGGCAGCAGCAAGACAAAACGTGCTAGAATATCCTCCCAGGTGCTGAGTGCTTAGTCCTTAAAGTACAGAGTAGTAATCCCAAGCACGTGTTTGTAACTGCTCTGTCCTGAACAAAGAGGCATCTGGCTGCGTGCAACAGAGCTGCCGTGAAATACCTATTCTGCAGCTGTCGCTGTGCAAAACGACACGCAGCCTGGGTCAGGTCCTTGGGGGACAAGTGTGTAATTCCAGCTACTGCACAGTAGCGCATGGAAGAATGGGTCTGTGTGTTGCTTTTTGGTATCCACTTGCAATGGGAGGAAAAGCAGAATGAAGAGTGAAGGGACTGAGTCGCTGAACTGAGAAAGAGTCAGGAGACCTGATAGTGATGCAGGAACGAGGTGTGGAAGCTTTGCCAGGGAGATGACTGTCCCCACATACTAGTCTGACTGCCAGAAGGCTCCTGTGTTGGCTTGCTACCTGGGTCCTCCTTCATTCAAATTGGCTCGTGCCGCTTGGACAGCAGCATTACCCAATTCTAGCACAAATAGCACAAAACTATTGCTATTTTCACGTTGGGCTGATGTCCCGACGCCAGGCTGAGTGTTGCTGGTAGCTCGGAGGAGTGTCCCTGCCAGCTGCCACCGGGCTGCTTTACACACCAGGCACACGTGTGCACACGGAAAGGGAAGGTGGAATTTGGCAGAACGGTGGCTGCAAAAACAACTCGAGTTTGCAAAGAGGGAAGGGGGCTGGTGTTGGCAACACCGAGTCCCAAGTCCCTGGTGAGATGACAGCTGCAAATGCCTTGGCTGCGTAACAGGTTTGACGTGGGATCAAGGGAAGAAATACAACAAAATAAAGAAACTTAATTTACCACAGAAGGGATTTGAACAATTTTCCAAACCTGTTGGAAGCAGATGTAATACTGTTTTTAATCTGCTTGAAGTGAATTGCTATTCCTAACGGGATTTTACAATAGCAAATGCTTTGTGGTTGTTACTCTGGGTGATGCTACCAAATTCGTATAGAATACATGCTGCCTGGCTTTTACGGGCCTGCTGCATGCAGGTTGACTGCCAGGTACTGTTCTCTGGCACCAACAGTGTCCTTCACCTCAAATTAAATTGCCACCTTCATGTTGTGCATCACGGGCTAATCTTTTAATTTCAGCTCCTTTGATCTCTGAAACAACAAAGAGTAACATCACTTCCTCTATTTCATTCTTTTTGCTGTACTCTTATTATATTGAAAAGATGGGATATGCCTGTTTGACATGTGAGAACCCAGTGTACAACCCACACCAAACGCTGTGCATGTGTATGTTTGACCACTAACATAGCTTTCAGAAGAGCGTTTGAAACAAAGCGTAAGGAAGGAGGCTTCCACTAGATGTGTGGATTGACTTTAGAAGCTGAAATCAGAGAATTAATATTTGATTGCTCACAGGCGTCTTTCAAAGTAGCTTTCCTTCCTTTTCAACAGCAACATTTCTGAAAGAACTGAAGGAAAATTCCTTTATTCTTTAGTGCTCCTCTAGCAATGTATGTGAGCTCTTCTCTCCTGAACATTTCTGCTAACTGTCCAAGCCTGTGTATATGCATATATCTAGAACTACCGCAGTCTGTCATGATTCAGTTTGCATGACACTTGCATGGAATGAGGAGAAGCGGAGAAATACATACTTCCATGGAGTCTGAATTTCTCAGTGGTGTTCAGTTGGGAGAGAGCTGGATCAACAGCTGGGCAAGGAAGATTCCGTAGCATGTAGTGTGTGTGTGTGTGTGTCTCTGGCTGAAAGCACGATGATTGCTCGCCTTTGCCAGCATCTGAAATCACTTGTTCCAAGGTGGAGCTCGTACTGTTATGGCCTCTAGGTTACAAACCATCGATACTCTTGCTTTAGATTCACCACGCTCTTAGCTTTCTAACAATGTTTGAATAGTTACCAGGGTGATGCTTAGACTGGAAGTGTTAAGACCAAGGCTTTTTTCGGTCATGCTGCAGTTATGGTTAAAGGTGAGCTCCAGGAGGAAAGCAGCCTGTTCTGTCTAAAGTGTCCTGCACCTCTGCTGTTTGCTCCTGCAGGTGGGATTTTGAAAAAAAGCGCGAAGCTCTTTTTCCGCCGGCGACATCATCAGAAGGACCCGGGAATGAGTCAGTCGCACAACGACCTTGTCTACCTGCAGCAGCCCCTGTCGGAGGAAACGCGCAAGAAGGGAGGCACGCTTTCACGTATTCTCAACAGAAAACTCCTTTCCAAAAACAAAAGCAAGAGCAAACTGAATGGTGCTTCGGCGGAACCATACGTATAAGACTGAACACTCTCTGATGGGATACTTGCACGTCAGTTGACCATTTGTTTACAGAGCAGTACTAGAGAACACAAATATAGCTGATGACTTGCATAAGATGATGTTCACTAATACAGTGGTCCAGGAATAAACAGAAAGCTTGTCTTTTTTTATTTATTTTTCCAGAACGCTTCTTCCCTCTGATTATAAAGTTGCTCCTCCAAATACAAGCAGCACTAATTGTATCGTGACGGCTTTTGGAGGACGGTGTGGTTTATTGTAGAAGATGAGGGAGAATGGGGAAAGGTGCAGGTGGGGAGGACCTAGTTTACATTAATGGGGAGCTGAGAACTGAAACATCGTGTCTGCTGCATGACTGAACCATTATACAGAGAGAAGATACCACTGTGCTTCCTTCCTGCAGCCTGGAATAGTAGCAGCACAAGTCTCAACTTGTTTTTCTAGTCAGGCTGAAAGGGAAAAGAGAGACTCAGATCCAGTTTGTATTGTAATTTGGAAACGGGTAAGTTTTCAGAAGCAGACCTAAAATGCTGATTAAGATAGCCTACTGTAGTAACTGTAGCCTGCTGTAATAACTGCTCAGTCCCTGTAGGTGGAGAGATGCCTTTGATATTAGCCATAAATCAATAAATTATGCAAATACTTATACTAGCATATTGTTTAATGTTCTGTGCAGAAGTTATGCTTAAAAAAACAGAACTCTTTTTTTAAAGTCTACTTGAGTCTACTCGCAAACAACACATTTACAAATTCTCATGTAGCTTTTCTTCCCTGTGTGAGGAGCTGCGTTGCTAATGCAAAAACCTGTCTTAGGGGCTCTAATTCCTTCTCCCAAGTACTTGTTAGACAAGTGTATTAACCATCATATCCAATGCAAAGCTAGGAGCAATAAGTGGTGAATAGAGCATATTTAACCCCGTAATGCTTTGCACTAGACAGCTTGTTTTACTGGCCAAACGCTTACTGAGAACTTAGAAAACACAGTTGTGAAGAGAGCTTTTAAAAAGATAATTCCCTTGGTGGTCTTTCAGTTTCTAGATCTACTAGTGTTGTCATGTGGTGAGTGGTTGGTTGGGTGAGGTTTTTTACTTTTTTTCCTCATTAAATATTGCAGCTGGCTCCTTTAAATTAAAAGGAAAAACTGATTAAAGTAAAAGTATAGTTCTTGTTTTGGCTATTAAGAAGAGTGAAATATCAGCCAGTATTTCACAGGTACCATCTTTTATGCATACCTGTACTTTTCCATCATCTACATTCCTACCGAGGACAAAGGACAAAGCCTGTTCTCTTTAGCCAAGAAAAACATCCATTCCATCTAAATTACTGACATGAATGGATGATAGATTTGTGCCTGCTTTACCAACAGTGATTTTTCCCCCTGCCCCTGTCCTCCCCTTAAGACATCCAGCGCTTTGGCTTTCAACTTAAACCATCCTTCAAAAAATAGAAAGTCACTGAAGAACAGAAACACATTTCAAAACTTCTGATGGACTGTAGATTCCTACGTAAATAATTTTACAAAGAACATAGAAGTAGAGGGGTTTTGTTTTCTTTTTTTACCAAGAAAACATTAGAAGAAATGAACTGTCAATATCTTTTAGCTGAGCCTACTGTTTAAAAATACTGTTTATGTGTAACCTTCTAAAATCAGCGTGGTAGTACAGCAGTCCAGACTATCAAATAGTTGTACGTTTAAGCATGCTGCTTATTATGAAAACACTTGAAGGCATTTTAATCTTCTGTATTTTGAAAATTGGTTACAAATGCGTATTCTAGAGCTGTAACATGCTTAGAAGTCCCAGTTCAGTAATACAGGTTTGCCCAGCTTGTGCTTGAACACTTTGTTTTTTTCTTGTTAATTTGATACAAAGCAGAAGTTAGGTTTCTTCACTTGCTCATGGTATGAGCATTAAAAACCCTGACCTTACATTCTCTCAACATACCTACTTGGCTTTACTAGGAGCTCTTTGCATCACGAGGCAGGTTGGGGAGGGTCAAATCACTGTTGTATTTTAAATGCTCAGTCTTGTTTGCTGATGGAGAAAACCACAGCTGGTCGCTGAGTTCAAGAAATCAAGGTGAGACTGAGCTCCATGGGTAGCACCTCCTTACATTAAAAGTGAAGAGCTATGGAATTGGGAATGCAAAGAGAGCACGTGACACTACTTGAAGTCTATTTAAATTACTGAACTGGGATTTTAATTTACAGAAACTTCATCATGTACTGTAGAATGGGGTGGAAATAACACTGAATCACTTGCAGAATACAGGAGCAGGGTTTGCTTCTAGCTTACCCCAAAGAACAGGTACACACTGAAGAAGTCTGGGTTTCATTCCTAAACGTCTTGGTGATTGCCTAAATGCGTGTCTTGATGGTGGGAACCAAGAACGTTCTATACTGCAAACGGTGTGAAGGTTTGAGCTCACATATATTGAGAGAGAATAAATTATTAAGATGAGGAAAGCAAGGCATTGGGGGTATAAAGGGAATCTTGTTTTGTAATTGCCTTCACTCCTCAGGAAAATAAACAGCGCTTGATTTGATATCCAACCTCCATACCTGGCTGGTGTGCTCCTCACTTCTTCCTCCTTCTCTACAAATAATTTATGTCCTGCTGTAAAAACAAGCTGAAGTACTAAACACAAAGGGACAATTGAGTTGCTCAGTCGTGATGACCCCCAAATACTGAATCCCATTCCCACCTTCCGAGGTGATGAGGTCATCATTTAAGGTGGGGAGATCTGAGTACCTACGTTTTTTGTGTACTAGTATTTAGGTCAGTGTGAGTTGGCTCCTGAGAGCCAGCAGGAGCTATGCTACAGGTTTGGGAAGGGAGGGTTTGTAAACTGGCATCGCTATTGCCGTGGTGTATCCCATCAGGTGCCACATGTTTCCTGTGCAGTTGGGTGAAGGACGCCGGAGGGAGTCGTTTTGCTCTTCCATGTTTTGCAATCTTCATCATTTTAATAACTACACATTGGAAGAGTAGAACAAATCTCTGCATGATATGACATGGAAAACTTCTTGTTTTCTGTCTCCCAATTTAATTACTTTAGAAAATAGCTTGGAAACCACCTGTGAAATTTTTCTTCCTTTTTGCCCCTTTTCTTACACTTTTGTGTTTCTGGATGTTCTGTACAGCAAAGAAGGCACGGTCTTTATTTTATGAGAACTAAAAGATGAAGGCTTGCTTTTCCTTTCTAAAGAATTTTTCTGTCCATAATTGAACCTTCTTAATCTGTGTTTTTGGTTTATTTTGCTTTATTGTATTTTAGCTTTTCATTTGTCTTAATGGAGAGAACCTGCATCCTTACCGAACCAAGATTTGCCTTGGCTTTAGTGTGGATTTTGACCGAGTAAGTGGTACAAGAATTCAATTTTTGTCGCTTAAAACAATAGAAGCACCTAATATCTGCAAGCTAAGTAGCTTTCTTAAGGTGACTGAGATCACTTTAGAAGTCACTTTAAAGAGGAGGCGGTCCTTTATCCCTAGGTCACCAATATTTCACATTCAGTTCACCCCAGGAAGAAATGACAGTTGTTTCATTCCTAACTATGTATGAAACTTGTGAATCTTAGGTGGCAGGAAGGAGAAGGAATACTGTAGTGGAAAAAAAAGTTCATATTCTTTTAAAAGGAAAGTACCTTTGGCAACCTTCTTCAGCTTAATGGGTAGGTTGTAAACTGTGCAGGCATAAATATTGGGCTTTATTCTTAACGCTTTCTGTTAGATTTTCTTTTTCCCCTGCTCTTTGGGAGAGACGTTGGGGCTGCAGGTCATACAGAGCTGTAGTCGCTGTCTTGCTCTTGAGAGGACTTATCTTACAGCGCTGCTTTTTTCCGAAGTGTTCTGTAGCCTGGGATGACACCAGTTTTGAGGATCAGTGAAATTTTATAGCATTTCCTGGTACTTTTTCAAGTGACAGCTTTCTGCTGTGTATTTCCTGTAAAGTTTTGGTGTTCTTGATATGCAAAGTATCATAGGAAAAAGCGCAGTCGACGACATGAAATGCCACCAAAAGTGTATGGGGAAACAAAACTAGACTCTTGCTCTTGTTTTAACATCTTTTTCAGCTCTGGTAGCTCTGGGTGTTGCAAGGAGCGAGAGCTCTATACGAAGTGGGAGCCGTGTGGCTTTTTCATTTTGGTTTATTGCAGTTTTTGAATTGCAGAGCTGAAGCTTGAGTAAGCATTTATCCTGGTACAGAATTAAGTATACTGTAGCTCCGGGCTAACACATTCCCATTGTGAGTGGGAGCAGCTGACCTCATGCTTTGACCTCCACAGGACCTAAGTGGATTTATTCATGCGTTTAAAGTCAGCATATGCTTCTGTACATTGCCAAGCCACAGCCTTGGTGCAAAACAACTTAACTGTATAACAAGGGTGATTACTTTAAGTTAAGGGTGAATAATATAATTTCACTCAGGATATCCAAACTGTTACTATGCAAGGTGCTGGCATGGTGTGAAAATAGCTGGGAAGGATGGGTCTGAGGTCTTTCCGATACTGTAACTCTGTTGTATTTCCCAATAATGTATTATGCTGATATTCCAGGTGGGGTAAAACATTTTTTTCTAGCATTCAACTGTGATAGTCACTTCTTCTGTGGTGGGTTTTTGTTTTTTTTCTTTTTTCTGTGTGTACACAAAATTAAGTTGGTGCAATTAAGAAGTCTATGATGTACAGATTTATTATATCACTAAAAAACCTGAGGATTTTTTTAAAGAAATAACTACTGCTGTACATACAATAAAAGCCAATTGTCTCTGTGTAGTGTGCTTTCCTACATACCTTGTCAGCCAAGCGTAACAGATGGTTTTCTACCCTCCTTTACTAATTTGACCTGTTGCTTAACACAGTTCATTTACCTGTTTATTCAGGAGCAGAGTTCTCCACCTACACTGTGCTGACACAGCGGGTTGTCTCTGATAACCCTGGCCATATCCGGTAGCCCCTTCTTGTTCCTTGAGAAATCACCTGAAACATGGACTGGGTGGGAATCTAATGGAAAAAGGAATTGTGGAACTTTTTATATTTTTTGTTGTTTTTCCTTTCAGTTATGTTGTATTACCCTGAAACCGTTA